GGTGTACTCTCCCACCACCAGGTGTACTCTTCCACCTCCAGGTGTACTCTCCCACCTCCAGGTGTACTCTCCCACCTCCAGGTGTACTCTCCCACCTTCAGGTGCACTCTCCCGCCACCAGGTATGCTCTTCCACCTCCAGATGCACTCTCCCACCTCCAGGTATACTCTCCCACCTCCAGGTGTACTCTCTCACCTTAAGGTGTACTCTCCCACCTTCAGGTGCACTCTCCCACCACCAGGTGTACTCTTCCACCTCCAGGTGTACTCTCCCACCTCCAGGTGTACTCTCCCACCTCCAGGTGTACTCTCCCACATCCAGGTGTACTCTCCCACCACCAGGTGTACTCTTCCACCTCCAGGTGTACTCTTCCACCTCCAGGTGTACTCTCCCACCTCCAGGTGTACTCTCCCACATCCAGGTGTACTCTCCCACCACCAGGTTGTACTCTTCCACCTCCAGGTGTACTCTTCCACCTCCAGGTGTACTCTCCCACCTCCAGGTGTACTCTCCCACCTCCAGGTGTACTCTCCCACCTCCAGGTGTACTCTCCCACCTCCAGGCGTACTCTCCCACCTCCAGGTGTACTCTCCCACCTCCAGGTGTACTCTCTCACCTCCAGGTGTACTCTCTCACCTCCAGGTGTACTCTCCCACCACCAGGTGTACTCTTCCACCTCTAGGTGTACTCTCTCACCTCCCGGGTACTCTCCCACCACCAGGTGTACTCTTCCACCTCCAGGTGTACTCTCCCACCTCCAGGTGTACTCTCTCACCTCCAGGTGTACTCTCCCACCACCAGGTGTACTCTTCCACCTCCAGGTGTACTCTCCCGCCTCCAGGTGTACTCTCCCACCTCCAAGTGTACTCTCCCACCTCCAAGTGTACTCTCTCACCTCCAGGTGTACTCTCCCACCTTCAGGTGCACTCTCCCACCACCAGGTGTACTCTTCCACCTCCAGGTGTACTCTTCCACCTCCAGGTGTACTCTCCCACCACCAGGTGTACTCTCCCACCTCCAGGTGTACTCTCCCACCTCCAGGTGTACTCTTCCACCTCCAGGTGTACTCTTCCACCTCCAGGTGTACTCTCCCACCTCCAGGTGTACTCTCCCACATCCAGGTGTACTCTCTCACCACCAGGTGTACTCTTCCACCTCCAGGTGTACTCTTCCACCTCCAGGTGTACTCTCCCACCTCCAGGTGTACTCTCCCACCTCCAGGTGTACTCTCCCACCTCCAGGTGTACTCTCCCACCTCCAGGCGTACTCTCCCACCTCCAGGTGTACTCTCCCACCTCCAGGTGTACTCTCTCACCTCCAGGTGTACTCTCTCACCTCCAGGTGTACTCTCCCACCACCAGGTGTACTCTTCCACCTCCAGGTGTACTCTCTCACCTCCAGGTGTACTCTCCCACCACCAGGTGTACTCTTCCACCTCCAGGTGTACTCTCCCACCTCCAGGTGTACTCTCTCACCTCCAGGTGTACTCTCCCACCACCAGGTGTACTCTTCCACCTCCAGGTGTACTCTCCCGCCTCCAGGTGTACTCTCCCACCTCCAAGTGTACTCTCCCACCTCCAAGTGTACTCTCTCACCTCCAGGTGTACTCTCCCACCTTCAGGTGCACTCTCCCACCACCAGGTGTACTCTCCCACCACCAGGTGTACTCTTCCACCTCCAGGTGTACTCTTCCACCTCCAGGTGTACTCTCCCACCACCAGGTGTACTCTCCCACCTCCAGGTGTACTCTCCCACCTCCAGGTGTACTCTTCCACCTCCAGGTGTACTCTCCCACCTCCAGGTGTACTCTCCCACCTCCAGGTGTACTCTCCCACCACCAGGTGTACTCTCCCACCACCAGGTGTACTCTCCCACCACCAGGTGTACTCTCCCACCGCCAGGTGTACTCTCCCACCTTAAGGTGTACTGTCGAGAGGGTTCGTGGAGATGTGACGGTTGGAGATAAACAGTCGTTGGATGGTAACACATATATTAGCAGAGTGTGAGAGGGGAGCCCAGACTGCCTGTGTTGCCTGTCGTAGACCTAAGCGCGGAGAGAGGACGAGGCCGGGAGCGCAGCGCTCTCATGCGGCATCATGTGACGTCACACATGCTAGTCACTGAGCCTAGCAAGGGGTCAACTATGTAAAACATATGGATGGTACTATGATACTCAGATAACATATACATATACAAGGGATCAGCAACTATGCTGACAGTACACTTCCACCTCCAGGTGTACTCTCCCACCTCCAGGTGTACTCTCCCACCTCCAGGTGTACTCTCCCACCTCCAGGTGTACTCTCCCACCTCCAAATGTACTCTCCCACCTCCAGGTGTACTATCCCACCTCCAGGTGTACTCTCCCACCTCCAGGTGTACTCTCCCACCTCCAAGTGTACTCTCACAGGCACTCTCCAACCTCCAGATGTACTCTCCCATATACTCTACCACCTTCAGTCACTCGCGATGTACTCTCCTGTAACTAGCTCTTGTTTACCCAGGTGGGACCTTATTTACCCAATTAGGCACAATATTCACCCTACTATCACTCTGTTTATCCTACCCTATTTATGCTACCATCACCTTATTTACCCTACCACCACCCTACTTATCCTAACACCCTATTTACCCTACCCTCACCCTATTTACCCTTCAGGTGTGTATTAATAAAAAATTAACTGACGACAAGTTTGTTAAGTGACAACAGACAATAGTTCAACAGAAAACGGGAACTATTAAAGGGAACTGATTTGAAAAAAAAAATGTAAATGTGGAATCTCTTTAATATTTAATGCCTATGTATGTGTGTAAGAGTGTGTGTATGTGTCTGTGTATGTATGTATGTATGTATGTGTGTGAATGTACAAGTGTGTGTGTGTGTGTGTGTGTATATATATATATAATATATATATATATATATATATATATATATATATATATATATATATATATATATATATATATATATATATATATATAAATGTAATCGGATGTCCTTGCTCTAAACGAAACAAAGCTGAAGGGGAAGGGGGGTAAGGGGATTTCAGTAGAGAGATATAGATGGGATTAAGTCAGGAGTAACTGAGAGAGTTAGAGCTAAGGAAGGTGTAGCAATAATGGTGAAGGATCAGTTATGGAAGGAGAAAAGGGAATATAAATGAATAAATTCAAGAAATATGTGGATTAAAATAAGAGTCGGATGCAAAAAGTGGGTTATAATAAGTGTTCGTGCACCTGGAGAAGAAACAGGGTGTAGAGGAGAGAGATTCTGGGAGATGTTAAGCGAGTGTTTGGGAAGTTTTGAACTGAGAGAGTAGTTGTGTTAGGGGACATGAATGCTAAGTGGGTGTAATGGTACAGAGGGCGTGGTAGGTAAGTTTGGGGCGCCAGGTGTAAATGATAATGGGGGGGAGGGGCCTTTGAACTTTATATAGAAAGATGGTCTGGTAATAGGTAATACATATCTTAAGAAAAAAAGGATAACTAAGTATGCAAGATATGATATAGGATCTAATAACAGTAGTTTGTTAGACTATGTATTGGTAGATAAAACTCTGATGGGTAGACTTCAGGATGTACATGTTTATAGTAAGGCCACGCACACACACACACAGTAAGAGTAAAAGGTAGATGGGAAGCAAAGAGAATGGCGTCAGCAAGTAAGAGAAAAGTGAAGGTTTATGAAGTAAAGGAGGAGACAGTTGTGGTAAAATATAAACAACTGCTGGAAGAAAGATGAGCTAGTGAGAGTATAGGCAAGAAGCAAGCCCTTTCTTACAGTAGAGCTCACAAAGTTTCTACAGCTGTTTCTGAAAGTTCTTACAGCGTTCACAAAAGCTCTTTCTTAGTGTTCAAAGCTCTTCTTACAGCTGTTCTCAAAGTCTTTCTTAAGATGATCTCAAGTAGTTTACAGGCTTCAAGAAGCAAGCTCTTTCTTACAGCTGCTTCTCAAAGCTCTTTCTTACAGCTGCTTCTGAAAGCTCTTTCTTACAGCTGCTTCTCAAAGCTCTTTCTTACAGCTGCTTCTCAAAGCTCTTTCTTACAGCTGCTTCTGAAAGCTCTTTCTTACAGCTGCTTCTCAAAGCTCTTTCTTACAGCAGCTTCTCAAAGCTCTTTCTTACAGCTGCTTCTCAAAGCTCTTTCTTACAGCTGCTTCTCAAAGCTCTTTCTTACAGCTGCTTCTCAAAGCTCTTTCTTACAGCTGCTTCTCAAAGCTCTTTCTTACAGCAGCTTCTGAAAGCTCTTTCTTACAGCTGCTTCTCAAAGCTCTTTCTTACAGCTGCTTCTCAAAGCTCTTTCTTACAGCTGCTTCTCAAAGCTCTTTCTTACAGCTGCTTCTCAAAGCTCTTTCTTACAGCAGCTTCTGAAAGCTCTTTCTTACAGCTGCTTCTCAAAGCTCTTTCTTACAGCTGCTTCTCAAAGCTCTTTCTTACAGCTGCTTCTCAAAGCTCTTTCTTACAGCTGCTTCTCAAAGCTCTTTCTTGCAGCTGCTTCTCAAAGCTCTTTCTTACAGCTGCTTCTCAAAGCTCTTTCTTACAGCTGCTTCTCAAAGCTCTTTCTTACAGCTGCTTCTCAAAGCTCTTTCTTACAGCTGCTTCTCAAAGCTCTTTCTTACAGCTGCTTCTGAAAGCTCTTTCTTACAGCTGCTTCTGAAAGCTCTTTCTTACAGCTGCTTCTGAAAGCTCTTTCTTACAGCTGCTTCTGAAAGCTCTTTCTTACAGCTGCTTCTGAAAGCTCTTTCTTACAGCTGCTTCTGAAAGCTCTTTCTTACAGCTGCTTCTGAAAGCTCTTTCTTACAGCAGCTTCTGAAAGCTCTTTCTTACAGCAGCTTCTGAAAGCTCTTTCTTACAGCAGCTTCTGAAAGCTCTTTCTTACAGCAGCTTGTAAGTATGGCTGCAACAGGAGTACAGACAAAGGTTACATAACTATCCCTGAGACGAAGTGAAACAGCAAGGCCAGATAACCTATCAATTTAGTTTTAAATCTTTCTACACTACCTTGCGTCTTCCCCGGTGCACTGATGCTGTCGTCTGGTCACTGAAAACAGAGAGATAGTTATAATAACCATAGTTTTGAAAGGGGTGGAGTGATAAGCCAGTGGAAGGCCTCGGTCAGATGACCAAAAACTCCAGCTGTGGGCCATCATATGACTAAGACCCGCGTCAGGAAACACTTGTCCTGTTTCCTGACGAACCTTAACCTTGTCATTGCAAAGCTGTGTCATTTTAGTCATATGATGACCCACAACTGGAGCTGTTGGTCATCCGACCGAAGCCTTCAGCTGGCTTACCACTCCACCCCTCTAAAAATTATGATTATAATAGTGAAGATCACAGTGAACATACTGACGATATCAAAAACAGATGAGAGACTGATATACATGTTACCTGTCTCATTCGGTCAGTCTTGCCGTTAAACACTGCTCAACTTGTAACATTTACTGCGTGATGAAAGCTTAGTTAGCGTCCAAGCGTAGAAATAAGCTGAAACCGGAAAATATATGTAGCAGTTTGTATAATAGTTATCTTGCACAATATCTGCTATCTTGTAAAACATGTGTTATCTTGTAAGTATATGTTAGTTTGTATACTAACTGTTAATTCGTACAATAGCTGTTAGCAGTAACAGCCTGGTTAATCAGACCTCGTTCCACCGGGAGACCTGGTTTAGGACCGGGCCGCAGGGGGCGCTGACCTCTTTGATATATCTTTATGGGCATAGTCTTACTTACTACTCTCGGAGCCCGACCATGGGCCAGGCTCAAAAGCAAATTTCACGTAACGAAATTTCTTAGCGAGCAAAACACAAGAAAAGGTTGGTGTGAAGAGGCGGAGCCAGGAGCTGTGACTCGACCCTTCCAACGGCAGCAAGGTGAGTACTATCTACTTGGCTTGAAAAATGTTACTGTCCATGGCTCACCAAAAAAGCCACCTTCACTCGGCTTACACAAGCCAAGCCACGAGAATACATTTGTTTTTTGCCTTATGACGTCAGGGCAGTAGTATCACAATGCTGCTGACAATCAACACCTCTAATCCACATTCCTCTTCGCGAACGACACTTCTAATCCGTATTCTTGCTCAAGAACGACACGTTTAATGCGTATTTTGCACAAGAATGCTTCTAATCCGTATTCTTGCTCAAGAACGACACGTTTAATGCGTATTTTGCACAAGAATGCTTCTAATCCGTATTCTTGCTCAAGAACGACAAGTCTAATCTGGATTTTCTGAATGTTTACAAAAGACGTGAACATCAATTCCAGTACAACCTTCAGTAGATGTGCCATTCATAAATAATGGGAGTCAATTCAGTAGTTCCGAAACTTAGTTCCACGACTTTGTTGATTGATGGGGTTTGTTGATAAATAGTTCGGAGAACAGACAAGTTGTTAAATTAGACATGTTCAACACTTGCGGAAACATTTCACCACACAGTGGCTTCATTAGTCTAATACAAAGAAGAATGGTGAAGATTAGAAGGAGTTTGAGGTAATTAGTCCCTCAACCTGGAGTCGATCTTGAAAAGAATACAGTATATTCGTGAGGTGGCTTATATACTGTAGACAGGTGAGGTGAAGCAGTCGTAACCGATATCATATTGAACAAATCCATACGTGGAAGTAGGTCATTGATGGGGTTTAAATCCCATCTACTACACGTGGGTCACCTATTCACCACTAATCAAGAATATTTTAATGCCTACTGTAAAATCTGGGATTAAAGTAAACTTGTAGCATATATATACTGAGAGATATACACCTCATGGTGTATATACAGATACACATCTCTCGGTTGTGTCAAGACTTGTTGTATATATATTGAGATACACACCTCGCGGAATGGAGACCGAGATATACACAGCTGTTTATATACCCTGAGATACACACGTCTCGTGTATATACACTGATATACACACAACTGTGTGTGTGTATACACTAAGAGATACACATTTCTCAGTGTATGTTCCTTTGTAAGTAGGTGTTGACAAAACTAGACTTATATGGGAAACGTAGAAATATTTTGAAACAGGAACAGCCGGTGTTTACTGAGGAGGATAACAAGAGTTATAACCACAGCACGGAATAAGAGGAAGATAATAGATAAGAACATAAAAAAAAGGAGGAACACTGCAGCAAGCCTACTGGCTCATACCAGGCAGGTCTAAGTCGCACCCACTCGTGTACTTGTCTAATGTATTTTTGGAGTTTCCCGAAGTTCTTGCTTCAATGACGCCACCCGGAAGTTTGTTCCACTCATCCACAACTCCTACCAAAAGAGTGTTTTCCTATATCCATCCTGAATCTGAATTTATCCAACCCATTCCTCCGAGTCCTGTTTTGGTTAGATGTTTTCAGCGCGTTATTCATATCCCTTTACTTATTCCTGCCTTCCATTTATACACTCCAATCATATCCTCCCTAATTCTACTACTTTCCAGCGAGTGCAGATTCAGGGGCCTCAGTCTATTCTCGTAGAAAAGATTTCTGATACATGGGATCAGTTTCGTCATTATTTTCTACAGGCTTTCCATCGCATTTATATGGAGACCAGAACTGAGAAGCAGAATCTCAAAGACGCCTTACTATATAAAGGGAAGAATTCTATTAGCATTATTGCTAACACTTAGGCACTGTGTTTTAGATTATCGTTAACCTAGACTTGGGGAAATAACCTCCTTGACTTGGTTCTTGCCAGTAGGGAAACACTGATTAATAATCTTGAGGTTAATGATGAGCTTTGGGAAAGTGATCACAAATCACTCAGTTTTAATATATCATGGAATTCCCCTAATAATGGCAATCGAGTTTCCGTCCCTGACTTTCGCTTGGCTGATTTCATAGGACTGAAAATTTACTTAGGTGGGCTGAACTGGAATGACCTGACTAAGGGTCAGGTAGGTGGTGATGGATGCCGATATGACGCTTTCCAGGGCATAGTTCTAGCTGCTCAGTCAAATTATGTTCCAAATAGGGAAATCAGATCAAACAAAAATGATCCTAAATGGATGAACAATAGATTAAAATATCTAATTGGTCAAAAGAGAGGCATATATAGGCAAATCAAAAGAGGAGAGGGGCAATTAAGAAATCGATATATTCAGTTAAAGAGGGAAATAAAAAAAGGGATTAGAAAAGCAAAAAGAGATTATGAGGTTAAAGTTGCAAGAGATTCGAAGACTAACCCAAAAGGATTCTTTCGGGTATACAGAAGTAAGATCAGGGACAAAATAGGCCCACTCAAAAGTTCCTCGGGTCAGCTCACTGACAGTGATAAGGAAATGTGTAGAATTTTTAACACATACTTCCTCTCAGTTTTTACACAGGAGGATACCAGCGATATTCCAGAAATGATAAATTATGTGGAACAGGACGATAATAAACTGTGCACGATTAGGGTCACAAGTGACATGGTCCTTAGGCAAATAGATAAATTAAAGGTAAGACACATATGCAACAGTTAGGTATCTTTATTTCGAAACGTTTCGCCTACACAGTAGGCTTCTTCAGTCGAGTACAGAAAAGTTGATAGAAGCAGAAGATACTTGAAGACGATGTAATCAGTCCATCACCCTTAAAGTTTTGAGGTGGTCAGTCCCTCAGTCTGGAGAAGAGCATTGTTCCATAGTAGGAAACAATATGGAGATGAAGTGACAAATTGGAGCCTTATATAGCGCCAAGAGGTGAGACGTAGGTCACTAGAAGAGGTAAGAACTCAGATGTTGTGAGGTCAGGTCCCTCTCAAATCCAGCCGTTCTCACTAGTGGAGGTTGTCGAAGTTGATTGCAGGTCTGTACCAAGATACCCTTGTGTTGCAGTGTCTGACAGAATGAACATTAAAATGGTATAAAATACCGACAGGTTGTTAGGTAAGACACATATGTGTCTTACCTAACAACCTGTCGGTATTTTATATCATTTTAATGTTCAGATAAATTAAAACCTAACAAATCCCCAGGCCCTGATGAACTGTATGCAAGGGTTCTAAAGGAATGTAAAGAGGAGCTTAGCACACCTTTGGCTAATCTTTTCAACATATCACTACAAACTGGCATGGTGCCAGATAAGTGGAAAATGGCAAATGTGATACCTATTTTCAAAGCAGGTGACAGGTCCTTAGCTTCGAACTATAGACCAATAAGCCTAACCTCCATAGTGGGAAAATTTATGGAATCAATTGCCGAGGAAGTTCGTAGCCACCTTGAAAAGCATAAATTAAACAACGAATCTCAGCATGGTTTTACAAAGGGGCGTTCCTGCCTTACGAATTTGTTTTAAAGTCTATCGAAAACCCACCAACCAAAACGATCTTCTCCACTTCTACTCTCACCACGACACCAAAACCAAACGTGGTGTGATTATAGGCTTCTTCCTACGTGCACTCAGAATCTGCAGCAATGAGTTCCTTGAGGAAGAATGCACTATAATTGAACAAGTATTTTCTAAACTCCACTATCCTCGTCACTTCATCAGAGACTGCAGACGGCGGGCATTAAACATCTTCAACACACCCAGAGAAGACACTGCCGAGAAGAGATACATAGTCCTTCCCAACAACTCCATTGCCAAACATGTTTCCAACATCTTTGCCAAAACATCATTCCAAGTATCTACCTCCACAACCACGACCATCAAGGACATCACCAGTAGTAGACAGGACAAGCCTCCATCCTCTGCAGGGGTATACATAATCCCTTGTAATGACTGCAACAAATTATATGTGGGCGAAACATCAAGAGACCTCCAAACACGCATTTCAGAACACCAATATGCAAGCAGGACTGACGATACAAGGAATGCCTGTGTACAACATCGCAATTCACACAACCATTTAATTAACTACAGAAACTCAAGACTTATAGCCAACGAAGACAACACTCAATACAGAAGAATCCTGGAATCATCGCTTATCTCTATAACCAACAATTTCAACCAGAACAATGGCTTCTATAACATAGCTGAACCACTCGCCAAGAAACTTCTTCATCGCTATCCCACATAAGAACATAGAACACTGCAGAAGGTCTACTCACAACTTGTCCAATACCCCTGCCAAGCTACCCATGACTCTATAACCCCACCCGGTAGATCATCAGATGCAGCATTCTCCACCTGACCTCAACATTCTGAACATGACTATAAATACTCTCGTACCTTCCAACCCCAGGTAGATCCGTGTGTGACTTGAAAAAGCCCACTGTGTGGGTGAAACGTTGTCAATAAAGGATCACATTATACTGCATTTGTTGAAGATTGAGACACTTATGCAGCATATGGGAATCTTTATTCAGGAAACGTTTCGCCACACAGTGGCTTCATCAGTCCAATACAAAGAGGAAGGCGTAAGGAGAGGAGGAGAATGAGGTAATCAGTCCCTCAACCTGGAGTCGATGTGTTCAGTCCATCAATCTTGTAGAATGTACAGTATAGGGCCGTAGACGTGGCTTATATACTGTAGTGAGGAGAGGTGAAGCAGGCGGAGGC